TAATGAAATACTATGAACCATTAAAAACAATGAAGAAATCATGAAGCACTGGATGAGTCTAGAGGACATTTTTCTGAGTGAAATAATTCAATCATAAAAGGGCAAATGCTCCTAGTGTCAAGAAACTGCATTGCAATCCCAGAGGTACATGGTTCGAATGCACCAGATGCTGTGCTGGAAAAGGAGGGGCAATCTCCTCCTGTACCTGTCAGATCCGATTTGATGGTACACAAACAAAAAAAAAGTAAAAATAAAAATATTTTTTTTAAAAAAAGGACAAAGGCTGTATAAGGCCACTATTAAAAAGATAGGATAGAGAGGGCGGGAAATTAATGGATAAATAATGAAGACTGTTGAAATAAATGAAGGCAAGAGAAATATGAAATGAGGGAAAGATCAGTCATTGTATCTGGAACAAGACAAGCAAACAGACCAAATCTGGAGGAGCGGGGTTAAAAGTAGACTAAGGTCAGGTTTGCAGAGATATAACCAGTTGTGGAGGATTGACAGGGACTGGAGGGCAGCCAGGGAGCAGACATTATTAACCGGTTTGCAGAGTGAAGGAAGAAGGAAGGTACAGCGAGGATTTGCTAATACATTGTAAGTAATGGCAGTGCACATTTGCAATTCATTAATGTTATACAACAAAATGCTTATGCTTGAACAAAAACCAATTTTAAAAATGTAACTATTAGACCGAAATTCTATGTTGATTGACTTTATGAACCTTTAATGCAGATTAGTCTCTATAAGTTATGTAGTCCATTTCAGGAATTTTTCTTGGAGAAAGTAGTAATTAAAGGGGGGGGGAGAGATGCTATATTTTTTACAATTTTTCACTCAGTTACTAATAATGTTATCATTCAGTGTAGAAAGATTTTACAAGACGATTTTGTCAGTATTCATATACTCTATAAACTAAGAAGTATTATTATTAAGAAATTTGCAGCTATATAGATCCATAGCTGACCCTTCAGCAGGTTTTCAAAGGCAGTTTAATTGCATGGAGGAGATTGCACATCCTTCTCCCACAGAGCAGCGGATGGATTTGAACGGTGTGTTTTGGGAATGCAGCAGAGCTTCTAAGCTCGAGGCCAAATTGGTAATAAACATCACTTAGGATGCTGTATGTAGGGTACTGTGAGTCATAAGTGACTCAATGGCACCTAGCAACGACAGGATTCTAGATGACCTGGTAGAAGCCGTCCAGTCCATGGGAGATAGGGTGTGATACCACGAGGCTTCCTTGGATGACATTAACCCACTGCTCTGTTCATTCTTTGTCTTCAGGACCCTGCTCTGAACAATCTTCACTAGATCATTAATCATCAGTAAATTTAGCTTTCTCAAAAGGTTTGTTTTTTGTTTTGTTTTTTGTTTTTTTTTAGTTATGTTTTGTTTTTTAGTTATTTCCTTTCTCTCTTAGCTAACAGGCATAACTTCTTACTCAAAATTAAAAAACTCCTATTTGCGTCTTTCTTTTCCTTTTTTAAATTGAAGTGACATACAATTAACTTTTTTGCCTTGAAGTGTCCAATTCAGGCCCATTTCTGCCTTCACAATGGTGTGCAACCACTACCTTCACAAGTTTGTGGTCATCCCTGCCCTTTGTTTGTTTGTTTTTTTTTTTTGTAGTTAAAAAACACATATACATTAAAATACATATTCAAGGGAGTTCTGGTGGCCTTGGAGCAAGAAACTGTACTGCAACCCCAAAGGTACATGGTTTGAGGCCACCAGCTGCTCTGTGTGAGAAGGATGGTCAAGCTCCTCGCATGCAATTAACTGCCTCTGAAAATCCACCTGAGGGTCAGCTACGGGTTGGTTCTGATTCTACGGTACACAACAGCAACAGTAGATAGAGATTATCATAAAAAAGATAATAAAATACATATATAAAACCAAAACCCCATTAGAATTCAGGGCAATCTGGAAGCACAGCTTGCTTAAAATTCTCTGACTTTTGTCTTGTTTCATGAATCTTGACTTCAGTATAAGATTTTTCTTATTTTTTCCCCTCTGCTTAGAAAATTCTCTTGTTCCACCTTGACTACTGGGTGAAATTCCTATTCATCATTTCTAAACAGCCTTTTCTAAACGTGCTTTCTACCCAGAAAGTCTGCCCTGACTTTAAAATATGCTCACACCACACTGCAGCCACAAATAACAAGGGGCATGATTAACCCAGAGTGAGATGTGCGGAAATGCATCCACGTTTCTGAGTTTTACTATGAAAAAAAAAAATCTAAAGTAAACTAATCAATTAATCATTTTTATATTGACTATGCACTTATTATTTTTAATATGTTGTTGTTTTGTGTCATCGAATTGGAACCGACTCATAGCTGACTTTTCAGCAGGTTTTCAGAGGCAGTAAATCGCCTGGGAAGATACTGCCCGTCTTTCTCCTGTGGAGCAGTTGGTGAACATGAATCATGCACTTTTATGTTGGCAGTGTAACTCTTTACCACTAGGCCACCAGAGCTCCCTTTGAAGATATTAAATTAAGGACAATAAATTATTAAAATTCATTTTATTTGTTACATTAGACTTCTTTATGTAATTACCAGAAAATTTTAAATGTCCTATGTGGCTTCCCATTCCCAAGAAAGGTGATACACCTGAATGTGGAAATTACTGAACAATATCACTGATAATACATACAAGCAAAATGCTGCTGAAGAGCATTTTAAAAAGGCTAGAACTGTACATAGATGGAGAACTTTGAAAAGTTCAAGCAGGATTTAGAAGAGGCTGTGGCACCAGAGATATAACTGTTGATGTCAGATGGATCCTGGCTGAAAGTCAGGAATACTAGAAGAATGTTTATTTGTGCTTTAGTAACTAAGCAAAGGCATTTGACAGTGTGGATCATGACAAGTTGTGGCTGACACTGAGAAGAATGGGAATCCCAGAGCACTTGACTGTGTTCATGCAGAACTATACCTGGAACAGGAGCTGTGAAAACGGCATGGTTTGGAATTGGGAAACAGAGCAGGGGAACACTGCATGGTTTGGAATTGGGAAAGGAATGTGTCGGGGTTGTATTCTCTCTCCATATCTATTCAATGTGTATGCTGAGCAAATTATCCGAGAAGTTGAACTCTATGAGGAGGAGTGTGGCATCAGGTTAAAGAATGCTAATGATTTGTGAGGCTCTATCTTCCTGAATGTTTGAGGAATAGCACCTCAGAGTGACACTGTTTCCTACAACAATGCATCATAACTTATTTAAGATAATCAGTGAAAAATATATATAACTGCATCTGGTGCTTTTCTCAAGGAGCATTCGTTTTTGCCATTTTGTTAAAATCCCCATTCTCTATGCCTGTTTTCCAACTCTTCTGTAATAATTCTGGGCACAAAGGAAAAACTGTGGAGTGAGGTATGCAGACTTGGAATATGTTCCAGTCAAGCATTGATAATCGAGCAAAAACAGGAACAAAGGAGGAGAAGAAAGGAAGTTAAACATTAGCTGCCACGGAGCTAAGTACTTCAACGTAAGATCTCACAACTCTCGCTGCCCTTGAGTCAGAACCGACTCAAACATCGCTGACTCTGCAGTGGGCTTTCAGAGGCTCTAAGTCACATGAGAAGAGTCTGTCCTTCATTCTGTGGAGCAACTGGATTTGAACTGACAGAGAGGCACAGCCTTGTGGGTTAGCTGCACAACTCCCTACAAATCAAGCCACCAGAGCTCCAATGTAAAGTTGTTGTTGTTGTGTGCTGTGGAGTCAACTAAGACTCACGGAGACCCTGTGAACAACAGCTCTGAGTCCTGCCCTACCCTGAGCTGGTCTCACTGTTTCCCATAGCCCTATCCCCATTATCACAGTCACTGTTCCAATCCACTTCATTTAGGACCTTCCTCTCCTGTGTTGAACCTCCACTCTTCCAAGTATGATGTCCTTCTCCAAGGATTAGTCTCTCCTGGCAACATGCCCAACGTATCCTTGCTTTCAAGAAGCAACCTGGCTTCCTTCTCTCCAGGACAGACCTGTTTGCTTTTTTGGTGCTCATTACTTAAACACTTCAGTATAAACGGAATTTCCCAAACTCTGGAACCTGGGTTCTGAGGGATGTTTGTCAGTGTTGTATTAGGGGTGGAGAATGGAAAGGTCACGTAAGATTAGGAAATACTTTTAAGGATAGGGAGGGGGAAAAGGGTTCTACCTGAGAACCTGCTGGAAGATCAGGTATGAGTTTGTTATGACTTGGTGGCAATGAAAAGCATGGTTAAATCAGACCAGAGCACACCAGGCTAAGCAAAGTTATTGAACCTTCTCTATTACAGGACTCTCCTGAGCTTTTAATGCTGCGAAGCTTCATGACAACCCAAAATATGGAATTCAATGTTTCTCAATGTAATGGATCATTCTTTTTGAGAAATACCTATCATTATCATTGTCTGGTAAAATTTGTTATAGGCAAGGGCATTTAACCAGCATTTTACCAAGAGGAAATGACTATCTTAAGAAGCAAAGTGAAAATGGAGAAAAGTGCAACAATGAATAAATGGAAAGCCAAAGCCTCTGTAAATTGTCATTAAAATTAATAATGATAATAATAAAATAATTTTATTTTTTAAAAAGAAGCAAAGTAATTTTCGCAACAATATATTTCTGTCTCATGGCTGCTCTAAAATTCTAAATCTGTGCTTATACTTGAGGAATAAAGTTAAGCACGGTCAGAAGAGCTAAATGTCACCCTTTTGGAGAATCTACATGTATGTACATACACTTGAACATGACTTCATCTTTCTCTCTACAGAGTCTAAGCTCATGGCCCTTCCTCTTTGACTCTATCTACTTCCTCTTTGAGATTAGTTTTACGTGTACATGTCTTCTCTCTCCAATTACATTGATGTGGTTAAGGTAGCACTTTGAATACCTCAGACATGTTTGTGAATGTATGACAGACATTGGTCCTCAATTCACATCATGTGTTCATACATGCTGCCAAGCCGTCACCAAAGAGTCGGAAAGCCAACACTGACATACCTGTAAAATGCAACTCATGATATCGGAGGCGATTTTGGCATGGGGAGTGTCTTCGTCTCTCCCGGAAGATCTCAGGTTGTGTTCCAAGCAGGAGTCCCAGAGGCCCACCAGCGCCTTCGCATGCCTTTCAATTGACTCCGTCTCTCTGATTGCAGCTGTGATTCGAGCGATGCAGACTTCAACCACTGCCTGGTCATTGTTATTGGTTTGGTAATCCTGTCGGGAAAGAAAAATCTTGTTAATACTCTGGAAAGGTACTCTTCAAAGGAACATGTAAATTCAATGACCTGGAAAATGTGTGTGTCAAGGCGCAGTTGTGAAGTCCAGTATAATGAGGTGCTTCCTCCCTGGAGACCTGAATCCCTTGGAAGATACAGATGTGAAAACATCCAAGATGGAGCAAGTCTGGGCTACCAGAGATGCACAGGGAAGAAGCAGTGAAACGTCATTTGTACCTTGCATTGTGAGCTTTTAATCTTTCAACTATTTCAATTTCTAAGTCTATGACCACTCAAGTTTGACTTTTTACTTTGATTTCCAGTAACTTTTGAGAAATGTTTTGAATTTTCCTCAACTGCCAAAAATGAACCTTTCTTTTAATTTTAAACACTAGAACACATCCTTCTCTCTCCAGCTCAAAAAGCTCCTGAATCCGTTTTTGTTTTCTCTGAACTTTTCTTTTACTCTCCTCTCCTAAATTCTCCTTCAAATGCCTAATATCGATCTTCAAGAGATAGATAACCATCCAGAAAAATCTAAGTGTAAACCATGTTACTGTTGTTGTACCATCGAGTCAGAACTGAGTCATAGTTGACCCCTCCCGCCGGTTTTCAGAAGCATCATAAGGAAAGAGATTGTCCATCTTCCTCTCACAGGGCTGAGTCTGAATTTGCTCATAGCTAACTAAACCTGCAGTGGGTTTATGGAGACTGTAAATCGTATGACAGGAGAATGACCATCTTTCTTCCATGGTGCTACTGGTGCCTTTGAACCACTGGAGGAGCAGTGACTACATCCCCAGAGCTCCCTGCTTTTTCAGGGTCCTTATATTGTGGCACTGGTCAGAACAGTCTGTAATAGGAGCTGGCCACTATCTGGTTCCTCTGGTTTAAGGGCAGATGAGGCATGACTTGGGTAGGTTGTTAGCCCTGTAAAACAGTTTCTTTTCTGGGACTTTCATTTCCTTATTTCTTGTCTACTCCCAATGAGATTTGAGACAAACAACTGTATCTTATTAAAAGGCTCATAAGCTTTGAAAAGCCCAGACATTATTCCCTTCATTAGGCTGCAGACCATAAATTAAATTATCCCATGAGATTTAGATTCTAAGCCTTCAAACCTCAAAAACCAATCTAGTGAAATATTTGGGGTTTTTTTCCCCCCTTCACTTTTGAAATTATTAAAATGCATCCCATTTTAATGCCCAAAGTATGCATTCATCATAGAAAAGGAACTAAAAATCCAAGTATACAGAAAGACTCAGCCAAATGGCCTCAAAAAAGGTTCTCAAATCAGCCACTTAAGTGAGGTCCAAGGGGTATATAGAGAAATAACATGAGGTCAGGGGTGGGAGCTATGCATGGTCCAATAGCAAGAGCTCTCATTCACCAATATTGGTTTTACAGTTGCTACTGTCTAAAAGCACAACTTTCAGCAACAATGAGCCCTGAAATTAGCACCATCTCGCCACAAAACAACCACTTACTTGATGGTAAGTTGTTTACATTGACTTCCCTCTACGCTGAAAAAGATATTAATCACATGGACTGACATTCATATGTGATTCAAGTCTGATTTTGTCCTCCCTATCCACAGGGTCTCAGCTTCAGCCATGATTTGAAAGGTAACAGAGTGTTTGACCAACTATCATGTTGTTGTTATTGTTATGTGCCGTTGAGTCGCTTGCGACTCATAGTGACCCTATGTACAACAGCCCTAAACTCTTCTTTCCTGTGCCAATCTCATTGTCTCCGACACACTCATCCCGATTACCCCAGTCACTCAATCAATCCACCTCTTAGACGGCCTTCCCCTCTTGCACCTGCCCTCCACCCTCCCAAGGATGATGTCCCTCTCCAAGGACTGGTCTCTCCTTACAATATGACCAAGGTATGTCAGACGAGGCCTCAGAATCCTTGCCTCCAGGATGAATCTGTTTGTTTTCCTAGCAGTCCATGGTACATTCAATACTCTTCTCCAGCACCACAGTTCAAAGGCATCAATTCTCCTTCTATCCTCCCTAATCATTGTCCAACTCTGACACATAACAAGTGAGCGACTTAATAACATTGCATAGGAAAGAGCATGAACACATAACCATAGGGTTCAGAGGATACGATCTTGCTTGATGAAAGTGAAGAGGGCTTGAAATTACTTCTCAACATCAAGAAGATAAAAATCCTCACCACAGGATCTACCGGCAGCATCATGATAGATGGAGAAAAGATTGAAATTGTCAACAATGTCATCTTATTTAGGTCCATTATCAGTGCCCTGGGTTCCAGGCGTCAAGACAGTTTCTTGTTTAGGACCTCTTCAAGATACTAAGGAGCAATGCTGTCAGTTTGAAGACTAAGGCGAAACTGATTCAGGTTATGGTTTTTTCAAAAAATTTGCTGTGCATTTGAGAGCTGAACAATGAATAAGGATGACAGAAGAAGAATCAATGTCTTTGAGTTGTGGTGTTGGGGAAAAATACTGACTATCCTTTGGATTGTAAAAAAAAAATGAACAGATATATTTTGGAGAAAGTGCAGCCAGAGTGCTCTTTGGAGGCAAGGATGATGAGAGGGACATCATGTGTGGAAAGGCAGAGGGCCGGAGAAAGATGCAGACCCTCAACAAGATGGACTGACTCAGAGGCTGCAGCCATGGGCTCAAGCATCTCGGAGATGGTGAGAATGGCAGAGGTTAGGACAGGTTTCACATCCGTTGTTCCAAGAACTGCTTTGGGTCATACTCAATTTGCTGGCACCTAACAACAAACAACTTCATATACACTCACCTCTTCTCCCTTCCAAAACTGCTGAATTGTCATAGTAGTAGAGCAGGCTTTTGAAGGCACAACTCAAAAGAATACCTATGAGAAGGGGAGTCACTCTTCACGAAGTAGTGCACGTTCTAAAACAGAGATAATTACATGGCTTGCATTCCTTAGGTAGAATAATAAGCCTAGGAATTAAGTAATGTAAGACTATGTGTCAAGAGGCAGATTGAAAAAGAAATCAATATCCTCCTGTTGAGGATTACTGATTCTAACAGCAGGAAATGAGTAGGAAAACTATTACACATGGAGGCTTCTCTTGGTGGCAAATGGACAGTATCATTATCACAACTCACAATCTGAGAAGAACATGAAAATCAAGACTCAGACCTTTCAAGAATGAACATTTAAGTAAACCAGTTAGCAAGGAAGTTGGAACCGCAGAAGTGCTGGCTGAAGATGAAAGAGGTCTAGAACAGGTGACAAAGGAAGTAGACTGTAATTTGTTTTCTTCTTGCTACTAACAAAAGTCCAGAGGTTTGAGAATTTATGTCAAAAATTTTGTTGTCTCTTAGGTCTGTAGGTCAGGTGAGAAAATCAATTTTATTGGACAAAGGTCAAGGTGCCTGTGGCCCTCGGTTCCCTACAAGTTTCCCTTGACAGACTCAGAGGAATGAATTCATTTCTTTGGCTTTTTAAGCTGCTAACACCTATTTATCTTTCTTGTGGTCCCTTCTGACATCTTCAAATTGCATCTATCTAATCTCCTGCATCATCCTATCTTGTTCTTTGACCTTTAACTTTCTTGTTTCTTCTTCTAAGGATCCTGGTGATAAGACTGGGCCCACTCAGATGATCTGAAACTTGGACAATTACCTTCTCAATATCCTTGCTTTATTCTATCTGCAAAATTCAAAGGTTCCAGAAGTTAAAATGCAAATATTTGAGAGGTTATTACTTATCCTAATACAGTTGTAGCTTTGATGCCATTGGCATGGTAAAGAGGGTAGAGCTTCTTATGTCAAGACATTGAAAAGACATTCCGACATGTTTGAAAAGATACTGGTTAGTATGTCAGAGAAGTGTGTCCCCCACTGCCAGGAAGTACATTTACTTTATGAGGCAAATGGATTCAAATGACGCAAGGAGTAGACTAATACTATATTCTCTGGGATGCTGCCCATATCCTACCTCTAAGACAAGGGTCCTGTTTCTTCAGCTGTTGGATCCTGGTCAACTCTGCCTGCAGAAATTTCCCTCAGCCAAACAGAACTTCACTCAAGGTTTGCTTCCCCCTTGAAACAACCCGTGTCCAGTGACTGGTCCGTGGAGCAGGCCCAGTTCACTTGTCTTAGGATGACTCTGAAGGCTCATCCTAGTTCTGGAGCTAAATATCCTAGTTGAAACTAATTCAATCCTACTTCCTAAAATCACTTTATGACTTGGCCACAATTGTATATCAAAGTTCAAACTCTCCTTCTGTTCAATTTGGCTTCATTATACCCCTCATGGGCTCTGCTCCTAACAGCATTGCCCTATACATTTCTGCATCAAAATTATCATTTTAAAATTAACTTTCCTGAGAACCCAACCAAATATAACTGAGTTTATAGAGATGGCACTTAGAAACATAATAAACCAGAAATATTATAAGCATAAAAATATTATTATTGAATAATAAATAATAAAGGTATTGTCACTTATCTGAAACAAGTTTAAATAAGAGTATTATTATTGTGCCACAGCATTTTAAAAAAATAAATAAAATCTTACTGTATCTAAAAAAAAAAAAAAAAAAGAGTTTAAGGTTCCATCACATAGCATATGTAGGTGTCTTGGTTCACAAACACCAAAACCTAAGTTGTCTAAGAAAGTACTATATTATCAAGAGTTCTGAAGGGTGTATTTTGGAATATGGAGGATAGTCTTAGAGGGATGGTATATATTGTAGTGCTAAAATTTCTAAATGGAAAAGCTGAGCTTCAAATAACATAGTAACATATCAGATGTAGATTCAACCACTTTGGATATTGATATTACTCTGAACCACTTCGCTAAAAACTAAAGAGGTTCCCCCCACAAAAAATTTAAAAAGCCTAGTATGTTCAAATTCCTCCGTATTACATGAAATAAAACTATAAAAAATTTAAATTTTCTCTCCAGACAGGGAAAAACCTGAATAAGCAGTTAGCTGCGTTTCTCAAGAAGCATTATTAAAAGAGGGGGTGGGAGG